ATGTAATGGGAACTTGTCAGTTCTTATCTTATTAGACCTCCTGCCAGCAGCTGAAATAACTGACTCAATCCACTGTAATCTTACTTCAGGGTATCTCTCATGATTTTCCTCTTATCACCTGCTATCCCTTCCCAGTCTCTTTTATGGGCTTCTCTTAAATATCAATGTTTCCCTAGGATTCTGTCTTGGATCCATTTTATTTTTACTATACACATTCTCTCTTGGGGACGCTCCTGGCTTCAGCTTCCACCTACTATTACATGACATCCTATTTCCACACCAGACTTCTCACAAGCTTTAGATGTGCACTAAACATCTTGACTATTACACAGGGAACTCAGTCCCTCATGTCTGAAATGGAATCTATTATCCTTTCACTCAAAACTTGCCCACGCATTTTCTGTCTCTGTGAAGGGACTGAAGGGATCTACTTAGCTGCCTAAGCCAGAAATCCAGGGAAGATTCTAAACATTTCCCTTTTTTGTACTTAATGTCACCAATTTGTTTATTTCTACTTCCCAAATATTTCTCACAATCATAACATCTTATAGCTCTACTGTAGGGGTCCTTAAACTTTTTAAACAGGGGGCCAGTTCACTGTCCCTCAGACCGTTGGAGGGCCGGACTATAGTTTAAAAAAAAACTATGAACAAATTCCTATGCACACTACACTTATCTTATTTTGAAGTAAAAAAAACAAACGGGCAAAAACATCCGCATGTGGCCCATGGGCCATAGTTTAAGGACGTCTGCTCTACTGTCATTATCTTGGTTTAAGACCTCATGCTCAGTATCCTAAGCATAATTACTATTAGTGGCCCCAAAATTTCCCTCTGTTTTTAGTTTTTAATTTTATCCAAGTTATATCTGTAGACATATGTAGTTTTACTGGATTAGTAATAAAATAACAGTAGTCCTCTTCCCACTCCCCCAGAGATAACCATTTTCCCCCTTTTAGCTCTCATAATCTTGATATTTACTTCCATGTTTCTAAATAACTTGTGTTACTATTTTTTTTTTTTTTTTTGAGACAGAGTCTCTTGCTTGGTTGCCCAGGCTAGAGTGAGTGCCATGGCGTCAGCCTAGCTCACAGCAAACCTCAAACTCCTTGGCTCAAGCGATCTTCCTGCCTCAGCCTCCCGAGTAGCTGGGACTACAGGTATGCGCCACCATGCCCGGCCAATTTTTTCTCTATATATTAGTTGGCCAATTAATTTCTTTCTATTTATAGTAGAGATGGGGTCTCACTCTTGCGAGGGCTGCTTTCAAACTCCTGACCTCGAGCAATCAATCTGTCTGTCTCGGCCTCTCAGAGTGCTAGGATTACAGGCGTGAGCCACCGCACCCGGCTGACTACTTCTTGATTTTTCAGTCTTAGGCACATCTAATGACTTCTTGCTAGGGAAACCGCTCATTCATTCACCCAGCAAATACTGAGTACCTAATACTGTTCCAGGTACTGTTCTGGGTGTTTGGGATATAGCAAATAGAATATCTAGCTGGGAAGAAAGATGAATAACAAATTAGAATATTATATGATTCATTATAAAATAGGATCTCTCCTAGCAAGATAAGATGTCCTTCTTTTGTGTTCCAGTAGTGCCCTGTTCTTAGCTCTATCATAGTCAGCAGATTCTATACTACAATGTTGTTCAAGACTGTGGTTGGTGGTGGGTGTCTTGTTATACTATGCTATATTTCTCCTATGGTTCTGATGAGTCTGCTGTGTGATTGGAGGGAGCTCTATGCAGAACAGAAGAACCTCCTGGAAAAGTGCTGAAGAGCTTAGGTTATGCTCAACAATGGGCGTGAGCAATTTTGGAGAAACTGAGTCCATGGATTAACTGTAAAGACTTATTAAGCCCAAATTTATCATTTGAAGGGTTAAAAGCAACGAATTAGGATAATCATAAAGAAAAGCTCCTTACATCATGATTAAATTTTTAAAATGGTACCAATGACTAGTAAATAAAGTTTAGAAAAGTTTGAGCATTTCTGATTTAACATAATTTTGATTTTCATGTAGTAGATCCTCATTGCTTTGCTTTGTTAGGTTGATTATAAAAAAGGATATAATAAAGATAAAGTGAAGTACAATGATAATGCATGAAAACAACTGCTATTGTTTTCTTTATCTCTTTACTTATTTGCCTGATTAGTAAAAGGAATACAATGAGGTAAAATAGTGTTTCATAATTATTTCTCAAAAAATTTACCCAGAATCACAATTTTTATATTAGCATTTTTTTTTAAAAAAAGTTTGACTTAATTAATTCTTTGACATGGTTATAAAAACTAAACTATATACTTTAGGATTAAATCTTTTATGTATGATAACCCTTTCTTTTCTTTTTTTTTTTTGAGACAGAGTCTCGCTTTCTTGCCTAGGCTAGAGTGAGTGCCGTGGTGTCAGCCTAGCTCACAGCAACCTCAAACTCCTGGACTCAAGCGATCCTCCTGCCCTAGCCTCCCAAGTAGCTGGGACTACAGGCACGAACCACCATGCCTGGCTGATTTTTATATTATATATATTAGTTGGCCAATTAATTCTTTCTATTTTTATGGTAGAGACGGGGTCTCGCTCAGGCTGGTTTTGAACTCCTGACCTTGAGCAATCCGCCCGCCTTGGCCTCCCAGAGTGCTAGGATTACAGGCGTGAGCCACCGCGCCCGGCCTGATAACCCTTTCTTAATGAACATTTTCTTCTTTTACATTTTGTTACATTTCTGTACTGTATTTGTCTTTTTAAAAATTATTTGGCTTTGAATATTAAATTCACACATTTCTAAGTTAAATCACCATTTGCAGAGGAACTATGAAAAAAATCTAGTATTAAATAAGTCTGAAAAAACCATATTTAATATTCTGAGGTCCATAGTGTCTATGTTATCGCTAATTTCAAATTTAAAAAATGCTGAATATTTATATAACACCAACTACTATTAAAGAAATGTTGGAAAAAGGAATTTCTGGAAATAAATAAAATTTTAAAAAGTTTTTTCCTGAATACTATAATTATATTAGTTCTCAACTCAAGTACTTATTTCTCTGAGCAAGACCTAAAAAAATCACAGTCAACATATTTATGAGATAAAAGTAGCAATTACATTTTGTGAGAACTTCAGAAAAGACTTACTTTCTTTTTTTTTTTTTTTTTGAGACAGAGTCTCACTTTTTGTTGCCCAGGCTAGAGTGAGTGCCGTGGCGTCAGCCTAGCTCACAGCAACCTCAAACTCCTGGGCTCAAGCGATCCTCCTGCCTCAGCCTCCTGAGTAGCTGGGACTACAGGCATGCACCACCATGCCCGGCTAATTTTTTGTATATATACTTTTAGTTGGTCAATTAATTTCTTTCTATTTTTTTAGTAGAGACGGGGTCTCGCTCAGGCTGGTTTCGAACTCCCGACCTTGAGCAATCCGCCCGCCTCGGCCTCCCAGAGTGCTAGGATTACAGGCGTGAGCCACCGCGCCCGGCCAAGACTTACTTTCTATGAAATGTAAAATCATTTGTCTGAACATCAGAAACTATATACCAAATTTATTTGAATTTGATCATCAGTCAGTGAATGCCCCAAAATGCTGGTGACAATAATGAATTATTGCTGAAAGATGTCTGATGATGGTATTTATCTTAACCATAATCATATACTGTACAAACACAAAAACTATTAGATGAATACCTATTTAATAAAATTTAATTTTCTATTCTTTTAACTCCATAAAACTTTAAATAATACCATATAAAAATTTTTATAGTCTCAATTTTGACTTTGAAAATTGGGCCCTATTTAAAAATTTAAAAGTGAAAATAGGCTAGGTGTGGTAGCTCATGTCTGTAATCCTAGCACTTTGGGAGACTGAAGCCAAAGGATTGCTTGAGGCCAGGAGTTCAATGTGAGCAACATAGCAAGATCCTGTCTCTACAAAAAATAGAAAAATTAGCTGGGCATAGTGATGAGTGCCTGTAGTCCCAATTACTTGGGAGGCTAAAGCAGGAGGATTGTTTGAGCCCAGGTGTTTGAGGTTACAGTGAGTTATAATGACACCACTGCAATCTACCCTGGGCAATAGAGTGATACCCTATACTCACCCCCCCAAAAAAAGAAAAAAAAAGGTGAAAATGCTTGCTTAAACAATTATGAGTTAGTTAACTATGAATCTTTTTTTTTTTTTTTAAGACAGGGTCTCATTCTGTCCATCAGGCTAAAGTGCAGTGGCATGATCATAGTTTACTGTAGCCTTGAGCTCCTTGGCTCAAGCGATACTCCTACCCCAGTCCCCTGAGTAGCTGGGACTTCAGGTGTGTGTCGCCATGCCCCACTACTGTCTTTTCTGGTCTCAAGTGATCCTCCCTCCTTGGCCTTCCAAAGTTTTGGGATTACAAGTGTGAGCCACTGAGCCCAACCAATCATGAATCTTTACCATTATCCCCTCAAGTGAGGTGGTGGTATCCTTCATCACTTGTCTGTACGTTTGCTGCAGGGCCTGTGGAACATTTAGTGTTTTGTGCAGATAAGCAATCATCTGAACCCCTTAGGATCAACAAATGGGAGCTTAAAATCTTTTTAAGTAACCACAATAAGGTTTTTATAGGCTTGGACCTTGTCTTAGACATTGTTTTCTGATCTCTAATGACTTTAGATAAGAAGGATGCCAGACCCTCTTGAAAAGCCAGTATGAAATCTTTGTGAAAGTAAATTAAATCTTGGGGACAGAAAATGACGTAAGTATATCTGGACAAGGTCTTAATAAGGAAGAAAAATAAATGAAGACAATTTTCTCCGAAAGAGTAAAACATCTCATCAGCAGATAGGACTGAACAGCATATAAAGGTAATTTACTAATTATTAACTCACAGAAGATTAAAATGTTAAGCCACATTAATTTTTTAAAAAATCTGCTAACTATCATACTTATAACATTTTTTAAAAAAAATCTGAGGGTAGAAACTTGATTATTTATTAACATATTCTGAAGTAACATAGAATGAAAATTGGTTACCTAATCAAGTAGCAACAGAAGAGTAAACTAAGGATGAAGACAAATATAGCAGTGCCAAAAACCACAATATATATGTTGAGAGGCAGATTCTGGAATCCAATATTAGGCATCCTGAAGTTGTAATGTGGGAAATCCGAGCTCATGGGTAAACTGTGGGGGAAGAAAAGAATGGAGAAGAATTAAGTATAAAGACTAGGAACCAAGATAGCATTGTTGCTATACATGTATACAGAGGTTAAAAGTTTTCTATGGCTTGACCTTATGTGAAACAGATATGATAGACAAAGTGTTAATATTATTGCCATTCATTCATTCATCATGCCAAATATTTACTGAGTATGATATACCTGACACTATTCCAAGGTTGGAGATGCTACCTAAAAAGTTTTGCAGGTTGCATTCATTCATTAAAAGGCATTTCATTGAAAAAATGTCCACATTTAATAAATATATGAAAATGTTCAACCTCAAAGAAGTGCAAAAAGAAAAAAAAAGTTAAGATTTTTCAAACTCTTTCAACTTTAGCTTAATAACTCAACCCTTAAAGTAGCAATATTTGAAATGGTAAAATATAAGAAATAACTTAGCTATCTCACAAGGAAATAATGATTAAACAATTATAGAAAGTCATATATTACACATTAAAGGGTCATGAAAATGTGTTTTTTGTCAATTTTAATGTCATAAGAAATATAAAGATATGTGGGAAAAATTAAGCAGGCTATAATTACATATAAAATATGATCCCAATTTTATAAATCTGTAAATATGTATAGGTATGTGTATGTGTGTGTGTACATATATTTTGGCAGAAAAAAGCCTGAAAGCCAACACATCAAAATGTTAACAGTGGCTGTAGTTTACTAGTCATTTTGATTTTCTTTTTTTTTTTTAAGCCCCTTTATTAAATCAGGCCCTATTCTAAGAATTTTACTGGTACTATTTTATTTAATCCTCACATCAAACTTCTATAGTAGGTACCGTTTCTGCTCATTTTATAGGTAAGGAAACTGAAGCTTAGAGAGTTTCAGTTACATAGTCATGACTGACCAAGTATGTTTGGGAGCCAGGGCCTCTCCAACTCCAAAACCAGTGCTCTCAGCCTATATGCTCTACTGCCTTTCTCGTGTTTTACTTTTGTAATAAAATCAGAAAATTAACCACTCAGAAAGGGACTGTTTCTGTCAGTCTGTTTGGTGATACTTATTGATTACTACAGTTAAAATTCCACAAGTGGAGGTTGCCTCTCCTTTAGGTGATGAGCTATAGTGATGAAGTGGCTGGCTCATCACAACATCTTCCTAGAACTTTCCTTGTCATTTTGATTCCTCTTTTTTTTTTTTTTTGAGACAGAGTCTTACTTTGTCGCCCAGGTTAGAGTGAGTGCCGTGGCGTCAGCCTAGCTCACAGCAACCTCAAACTCCTAGGCTCAAGCAATCCTCCTGCCTCAGCATCCCGAGTAGCTGAGATTACAGGCATGTGCCACCATGCCCAGCTAATTTCTTCTATATATATTAGTTGGCCAATTAATTTCTTTCTATTTATAGTAGAGATGGGGTCTTGCTCTTGCTCAGGCTGGTTTCGAACTCCTGACCTTGAGCAATCTGCCTGCCTTGGCCTCCCAGAGTGCTAGGATTACAGGTGTGAGCCACCACGCCCGGCCTCATTTTGATTCCTTAAAGAGCTCTTCCCAGTCCTGCTATTAAGACCAAAGACTGATAATGAGATTATAACTATGACTACTGCAAAACCAAACCAAAATGAAACCTTACCAAGCAGAGAAAACTTCTACTTTTATTTATGCATGGTAATTAAAAATGTGTCCACAGATCTTTAGTGCCCTTGTGGTTCCCAGAAGAGTATATTTATGCTGTTGATACCACTGAGATGCTGACTGGCTGTATCTGAAACCTCAGTTATATCATTAGTTTAGTAAACTAATAGCTGCACAGAACAACTTCATCCCATGCAACTATTCTCTGAAAGCTTCCAAACATAAATAATGGGTGATATGTAGTTTTGAGCCTTTGGCTATTTTCTGGATTAGTTTAGTTAGAGCAAGTGCTTTTCTAATTTCCTTTTCCCTACATTCAGATCTTCTTAGGAAGGGAAGGAAGGATGTAGTTAAGGAGTGCTTTACTAAATATACATAGCACATACACTGTAGAGCTATTAGAAAATTATAGCTGCACAAAACTTAACTTGTAACTTTCATATTGCTGACAGGGCCTCATCTTATGACCTTTGCTATAGTCAAGACTTAGATGACTGTTCTTTAATCCTTTAGAAATGCCCTTCCCCAGACAAACTGGGCTTGGTAAGATACCTGTTATTTTAGGAAATAGGAGATTAGGGCAGGCTAATAGAGAGGAAATATGCAAGCAAACAGAAAGTGGTATGGTGGGAAAAGGGACACGTTTGTAAGTCAGCAACTCTGGAGGTTTGTTCCCAGGATGTCACTAGCTAGATGTCAGGACTTGGCCCATCTATATACCACAGTTTTCTCATCTTTCAAATGGGATAATGCCTGTCCTATTGACTTTAAGGGATCTCTGAAAGTATAAAATGAGATAAGAGATATAGAAGTGTCTGAAAACTCTGAGTTAGGATAAAAATATTAAGGCTTGCGTGTGTATGTTTGAGGAAGGCAGTGACATTAAATAAAAGTAGTAAATAACATAAAAACAGCCCTGACAAAAATCGAGTCTCTGGAGAGGATTTCACTAAACACATGCCCCTTCCTCAGGGAGCTATTCCACAGGCACTGCCAGGCCTTCTGTCAAGTAGCTTGCCAACCTGTTTCCCCAAGAAGCAGGAACTGGAAACTGTGTCCTGGCCAAAGGCAGTCATCAGCATAGGCCAGCTAGGAGTGAGGCCAGGGGCATAAGAACATTGTCCTGCAGGGTCCTACACTGGGTAGTACTAGCAAGGAACTCTTGCAGAATTGTGAACAGAGACACAGACATGCAGAGCATTAGAGGTAGTGCTGTAATCAGAGAAGAGACGTCTGCCTCAGTGCTCCTGGGGACCGAATGCTGAGACATTTTTCTGAGCTCTCACTACCTGGCAGGACCTAACAATTAAACCCTGTTACCAGAGGGATGTCGGGTTGATAGAGGGTATGTTGATGCAGAATACATTTTATGAAATTTTCTCCTTTACATAAAAGAAATAGCTTAGCTACTGTATGTTGGCCCAACAGTTTAAGTAGATGGTAAATTATTCCAACTGTTAATCCTGGTCTAGCGATACATTTGTTTTTATAAAATTTTCATCATAATATCTTTTCAGCATGAGTACTAATTTTTTAAAATAAGATAATTTTTAAAAAGAAGCTATATATTCATCATCTTAGTAATAAGTATTCTTTGCTATCAAAGTCTTACAAATCTAGTTACTTAGTAATTACTCCTTGTAGGAGTGAAGAGAATAGCACATACTATTGGATCTTACTTGGCATTTCCAACTTCATTCACACAAAAACCTTTTTTTACCTCTTATATAATTCATAGTTCCTGAAATCTCTAACCTCAGCCTAAATTTCAAGCCACCTAAACAGTTATTAGAAAAAAACAAACAAAGAAGATCCGAGTATTTTATCAGCAATAGGATTTCTCACCATGAAGATCTAAGAGGGACAGATTACATGAAATTTGGATCCCTACAGGAACTGAATTTAATACAATGTATGTTTGGTAGCCACATTCTTCCTAGATCATCTTCTCAGTAGTCAATATTCTACTTTTGCTTAAAAAATGCTGAGAAAGGGAGACACCAGCAATTTTACTGCTATATTTTATAATTTATGATTCATAAACCATAAAAAAACATGTATTTCTTATAAATAAAAAAATCCACAAAAAACCTTTGTAAAAAATACTACTTTAGATTTTTTTTTTCTTTTTTAAATTTTGGGGGGATCTTCTGGTGATGACCAGAAAACCTGCTAGACAAATTCTAAAAGAGCAGTAACACTTTCAACTTTGTTAATTTTTTTTTTTAAAGTTGAGATATAATTTACTATTTAAAAATGCACCCATGTAGGCCGGGTGCAGTGGCTCACGCCTGTAATCCTAGCATTCTGGGAGGCCGAGGTGGGAGGATCGCTCAAGGTCAGGAAGTCAAGACCAGCATGAGCAAGAGCGAGACCCCATCTCTACTAAAAAAAAAAAAAAATAGAAAGAAATTAGCTGGTCAACTAAAAATATATAGAAAAAATTAGCCGGGCATGGTGGCGTGTGCTTGTAGTCCCAGCTACTAGGGAGGCTGAGGCGGTAGGATTGCTTGAGCCCAGGAGTTTGAGGTTGCTGTGAGCTAGGATGATGCCATGGCGCTCTAGCCATGGCAACAGAGTGAGACTCTGTCTCCAAAAAAGAAAAAAAAAAAAAAGCACCCATGTTAAATGTACGAGTCAAAGTCTGGACAAATGAGTACAACTATGTTACCACTAGCCTACCCTAATCTAGATATAGAATATATAACAAAGATTACTGGAGATTTAAAAGAAATACAGAATATTTCCATCTTTCCAGAAAGTTCCCTTGTACCCCTTTGCAGTTAATTATCACCCCAACCACTGATTTCTATTAATACAGAATAATTTTCCTTATTCTAGAATTTAATACAAATGGAATCACACAGTATGCACTCTTGTGATCAGCGTCTAATCACTCACTAGGTCTGTGAGAGAGTATTAATAGTTATACAAAATACGTGTATTTCACATTTTATTCCTACTATGCTCTAATTATCCTATTACCTACACCTGCAGCCTCTTAAAATCAATGAGTTAGTATATTCTGAGAATTCTCACCAATTCTCATCATTTTTATATCTTTGGTGTTATTTCCCTTTTTTGGAGCTTCATGCTTTATTTTCTCAATTCTTGGTCCAACTTCTCTAGAGTAATCTTTAGATCTCTTAAAACATTACTTCTGCTTTTCTTCCATTGTTCCTTTGCATTGCCTGATAGTATTCCATTTTATGGATAAAACACATTTTATTTTTTACCAGTTGATGGACATTTAGATTGTTCCCACTCTTTCGTTATTACGAATAACGCTGCTATGAACATTTATGTGAAGATTTTTGAGCAGACATGTTTTCACTTCTCTTAGGTATATACTTAGGAATAGAATTGCTCGGTCCTG